GATTATAAAACTCTGTTTATGTAACCTTCAAACAAAAGATGTATTTACTTCATATCAATTTTGTATATTCTACTCTTAGAAGCTCATGATTTGTACTACCAGTTCCTGGGAAATATAATAGATCCGGATAATTTATTTTGTTTAATTGACTTATTAGCTTTATTTAAATTGGATAGTTATTAGTTGGCTTACCTAGCGGGTTGGATTCGGTGCAATCACGACTAGTGGATTTTGGGTCGTGACACATATAAACTCTGTTCGTTGCTGCTGCTATTTTTAATGACTAGCCAAAGATAAATGCAGCTTGTTGGTTTGATAGTATGTATACACTGTTGTTGTCTTTTTCTCTTCTTTCTCTGCTTAACTGCTGCTGTTTTTTCGTTTTTCTCTTTATTGCTACTGCATATACACTCTGTTCGTTGTTGCTATTTTTAGAGACTAGCCAACTGGTTACAATATATTATCAGTTGTTTCACTCTCAACACATTTCTAGAACTCATCATATTCTACAGTTCTTTGTCCATTAAGATGCTTTTCACTTGGTATTGGTTTTGATTTGGAAAATTCCTCCAAGTCCAAAATGCTTATGTATTAGAATTTGCTATTGAGGGAAAATGTTCATCTGTTTAAGTTTAGCTAAATAGTTTCAAAATTATAAACACAATAGTGCTATGATTGTTTGAAAATAGATTTCAGTACACCTTAATTGTTTCATACTCATAGACAGAACCTTATTTTCCTTACATATATACTAGTTAGTTTTCAAGTTTGTCAAGGAGTAATAGTTATACATGGTGCTTCTTTCACTTGGTGCCTCCTTCAATATTCTTCCATTTAGCTTCTATTGTGTTTATTTTATAATTCTCAAGTCCTACTTGTAAGTTGTTGTTTGATGTTTCTTTCTTCTTGCAGAGAATGTCTCAAGTTAATATTGAGAACCAGAAATAGTTGAAGAATTCTCACACTGCCGGAAAAAGAAGTTTTGCTTTAGTTCGCTTTAAGTTGGTGTGTAACTAGCAAATCATGGCAAAGAATTTCTCAATTTTGGCTCTTGTTTAGTTCATGGTAGATCACCGAGAATGCTAACTCACTTTCATATAACTAAGAAAGCGATAAGGAAACTTCGGATCCTTTATCAACAAAGAAAGTCTTTGTAGCTACAAGAAAAAGGAAAGATGGGCGATCATACAAGTGCTTGGATGAAGATACAACTAGTAAAATTATGTGAATTATATTTAACTGATGTTATATCGAAATTAATTATTAGTTTTTATTAATTTACTTTTTATTTAATTGTTATATTTTATTGAATTTGTTTTGAAGGCTGAAATGGAGGAAATTGACGCACAACAAAATAAAAATGGCAATGAGTCCGTAGAGGCATTTGCATCTGTCACGGGACCTGAACATCGGGACGTCTGAGATTTTATGGACGAGAGGTTACAAGAACTTCATTGAGAGGGAAAGTAGGATGTTTTGAACCCTCTTCAAATACTACAAATTATCTACAAAAAATGGAGGAGAAGATACAAAAAATGGAGGAAAAATTGAGGAACAAAAGGCAACTATCCGTCAAGAAGTTGCTGCAGATGTCCTTGCACGACTTCAGCGTTCAGGAATTGATATTGATGCTAACATTATTCTAGCGGCACTGGTGATAATTCACCAGGAGAAGCTTCTTCTGCTCAGCAAACATCTTTGCAACCAATCCGCCGTCCATCTACTGGTAACAACAAAGAAGGCCAATGATATACCCCATATTTTTGTATGTGAAAGTACGCCGTAAGTCAATTGATGCAAGCTCGAAAATGAGATCCTCTTTGAAAGTATATAAAGTGATTTAATGATGTTACACTCTATTTTTGAAAGCCTTTAACAGTTAACATTCAGGGACGAATATTTTTATGGAGGGAAGCATATTACACCCCGTACTTCAAAGGTCAGGGTCATTAGAAGATTATCTAGTGTAAGCTCAAAAAAGGATGAAATCCTTGTACAAGGCTAAGGAAGGTTTATGGAAATGTTAAGTAAGTTAGGGGGAGTAAGACTAGTTAATAATGATTTAAGTGAGTGTAAAGTCATATATTGACTATATATGATGCTTGGATATAAACTATAGAGTTTGGGGAAACTCGGATTTATCTTACGGAAAAATTGGGTTAAGAATTGCCTTGTAACGAGCCATTTTGAGAAATTAAATTCCTAAGCCTTATGATGTAATTTTGGGACATAGCTCATATAAAAATTAAGTTCTTGGAACCTAGTTTCCAACAGTCCATACCATTTATTCATGCGACATCGGGGTAGAGAAAAATAGATTTTTAAAGTAGGGTCGTCAAGTCATGTCGCTGCACTTCGGAGAATATGGTAGGTTTATAGGCCAGGTTACGAGGCAATTTTCTCCCAATATATTGAGATTTACAGGGAGGTCTATATATGTAATTAAAGCTCCGTGTGTCTAGTTTCTAACTCTGCAAATCGTTTGTCAATAAGGCGCCGTAATAGAGAGATATCCACGTTTTTGAGAGATTGCGCAAGCAGCTCGGTTGGAACCCACTTGAGACGGCCACCGACCTTACGTCTTTTAGAAGACGTTTCAGCCTCATTTTGGGTCATTTCCCACCCAAATTTCATCCAAACGCTCTCCAAAGCCCTCCCTAACATATCCCAAGATCCTAAGAACCACACTCAAGGGAAATCAACTCAAATCATCATCAAAGGTGTTAATGACTGCAAGAGAATGCTTCTATGATATTGTGGTGTGATTGAGGGCTATTGTGAGCTACGTTGAGATACAGTTTCAAGTTGTAGCTGCTGTCCAAGGTATGTATAACATCTTCTTGATTGTTCCTAAGGTTAATCTTGTGTTGGTTGTGTTGTTTGAGTAAAAAAAACCATAAGATAGCACTTGAAGGAACATGGGATATCGTTGCCTTTTTGGTTGGAATGTTTTATGGAAAAATATATGGTTTGTGGCGGCTGAAAATTGTGAGAAATAATTTGATAATGTTTTTTTTTTTTAGCAATCCACTAGGCAATGCCTAGGGCTAGTTTTTATTTATAAAATAAAATAAAAGAAAACAAAGTGTCATAAAATCCTAGTAATTGTACGAAATAATATTTGAACTCAAACTATGTCCTATTATCAAAATTGAGTAATATACTCAAAATTGATATCACATAACAACTACTAAATATTGCAGAATAACTAGCCCATGAGACAGCATCCAAACAGGCCATACTGGGTCCAAAAATAGTCCAGCTCCATTGCTTGACTGCCCAGCCCAGAAGGCCCAAAATTTCGCCATTTCCAGTACTCTCCAGCCCAGACCACCGGCTCTACTGATTTGCATAAGTAGCCACCAATAAGCCCAAATTCCATCTCCTTGTATTTGCAAATGTAGCCACTTCAAATTCAGTTGTATCAATTTACACGTGTTGCCTTGTATATACCTCTTTATTACATGTAACTCTTCATTTGTGCTCCATTTATCCGTTCTCTTCTGACTGTACCTCACATAGATAGTATCGATTCCCCCTATGTTCTCTTCAACACCCATTTCTTCTTCTACAGTCTCCCTCCAATCTTCCTTAACTACTCCACTCCTTGGTTGAATCATTATGTTTGTACCTGAATCGAGCTGTTTCGTGTTGATGAGCTGGATTTGTTCCTGAAGATGGTCCCTCCTATCCGCTGTGATTGCTCTGAAGACCATAGGTTGCCAAGATCCGTTCGAGATGCCACTGATCAATAAAAAGCCCTGCTTTGCCTTGGAGGAATTGTATGTGACTACTTCAACCGAATTTGTAATCTTACTAACCTTGTAAATTTTCATGAGGATAATCCCTGTATGTAATGCTTTGAAATCCCCCTTGTACTTTGCTCCTTTCTTAAACATGTGCATCATCCAGCTAAATTCTCTTAAAATGAGAGATTTGCTGTCTGCAGTCTGTGTGTCTAAGTGACACCATATCTTTGCTTGCTTGTTTTTTGTGTCTGTTATTATCTTTCTTTTGTGAATGTGGTATCCTGCTCTCCTGTGTGATGAATTGCAATTGAATCCTATAGTCTTTGTATTCAAAACTGTAGCCTTCCTTGTTACCATACTATAATCTAGGTTTAATTTCACCCCGATGGAATGAGTACATAGTACTAATACCACCACCTGGAGATTCCATAAACCATAGAGTATAGATAGTATTGCTAAAGCTGTATGCTACCATATATTTGCTTGCTTTGCTGTTGTGCTTGTTGGTGTTGTCTGTCTTTTGTGTATGTGATATCTTGCCCTACCATAGGATGGTTTGTAGCTCTTGCATTCTACTGTGCCTTCCCTTGCATTCCTCTTCTTGGATTGAGTACAAAGTACTAATACCACCAAGTAATATTTGTTCAAGGGAAAGACCTGATACCACAGGTGCATCATCCAGCTGGGTTCTCCTATAGTGGGAATTTTGCTGTCTGCATGCTGTGTACATATATGACCCCATGTGTTTGCTTGTTTTGCTTTTGTGTCTATTGATATTGCTTTTCTTCTGTGCCTGTGATGTCCTGCTACCACCAGTGATGATATGTATTTTCTGCTTTCCATGAAATTACTAGTTACTATGCTAAACTCTAATTTTAATTCTTCCCCGATGGACTGAGTACTTAGTACTAATACCACCACCTGAGGTTTCCTTAAAATATAGAGTATAGATAGCATGACTGTACCTGCAAAAAAGAACACAACATTAGCAAAAAATTGATATCTCATGTTCTCCCCTATACTGGTTTGAACATGAAAAATCACATCTATAGTTCATGCATCCTCAAATACCCCAGGCTCTCCTCCTCCAACTAATTCCTGGAAACTTTGACCCTCAAGTATGGACATTGCAGCTTGTCCTCATTCACTATTCTCCTCCCTTGTGAATCCAACTCCCAAAAATCATGGCACTCAATGTTCCCATTGTCCAGTGCATAATTTGCCAAGTGATCTGCTAGTTTGTTTCCTTCTCTAAAAATATGGGATATCCTGATACTGCAGCCTTCCATTAACTTCCTTATCTCCTCCATTCGATCTACAATAGTCCAAGGGGGTTTCCATGCTTTCTCTATAATGTTTTTTCATCAACATGGAGTCAGTTTGCAACGAGACTTGGTAATAATTTCTAACTCTGCACATCTTTAAAGCCTCCAGAATTGCTACAGCTTCAGCTTCATTATTTGACCCTTCAGCAATTTCCTTTCCCATTGCATATCTTACCTCTCCAGCCTCATCTCTAAAACAATTACCAATGGCACTCCTGCCTGGGTTTCCTCTTGATGCCCCATCTGTGTTAACTTTGATCCAGCCCTGTTGAGGAAATTCCAATATCACTTTGTAATATTTGAGCCTAGGTGTGTAGTTTTCCATCATCATTAGTAAATCACTCCATCTATGAGGTACCCTTAGTCCAGGCTTTCTTAATTTTACCAAGTATTGGAGGCTAGTTGATACTTGGTAAATAACTCTACTCACTGAGACTGCATCCCCATATTTCAGGCTGTTCCTCCTCTTCCAAAGTTCCCACACTATGCATGATGGTAAAGCCTGCATGATTGGCTTCAACCTCTGCACCACAGGTGCAATCCAACATTTAATGATAGCTTGGTGTAATGTCAACCCCTGTACAGCAATGCCTGATCTTTGCAGGAAATATTTCCATACAGCTTCAGCAGCTCTAGAAGAGAAAAATAGGTGTATCAGTGAATCTTCCTTAGGTGAAGCACAACACCAACATTTAGAAGGCATAGAATAGCCTAGCCTTTTCATAAAGTCATCCAATGGTAGCTTAGCCTTCCACAGTTTCCACATAAAGAATGAGATTTTGAAGGGGAGACCTCTCACCCATATTTTCTGATATGCTGTTCTTGGATTGTCTCTCCTTCTCAAGTACTCCCATGCTGTCTTCACAGTAAAGTGACCCTTTGTTTCAAGCAACCAAAAAGGGGAATCCAGTACATTTTCCTTACCAGGTGGCTTAATATTTTCCAAGATATGATGTGATAAATCATCAGGTAAAATCTGCATTAGTCTCTCAGCATTCCAAACTCCATTCTCCACCAACTCATTTACATTATGTATCTCCTCATCTATACCAAAGTCTGGTGGCACTAGAAAGTAGAGTGCCCCTAAACCTGTCCAGTTGTCATACCAGAATACTGATGACCCCATTCTTAGTTTCCAAATGATTTGATGCTCAATTAAATCTCTGCATTCAAGCATCTTTCTCCACACATGAGACCCCTCCCTCCATGGCACTATTACTGCATTTAATTTCTTGCAGTACTTTTGGCTCATATATGCACTCCAAAGACTTGGCTTAGTCCTGAAGTTCCACCACAGCTTACAGAAAAGAGCCTTAGACACATCATGAAGAGATCTGAACCCTATTCCTCCTTCTTCATATGGCATACACAGAGTATTCCAGGATGCCCAATGTCTACTGTTGCCACCCACAGCACTACTCCAAAAGAATTGGGCAAAAATTTTGTGTAATCTATTTATGACATAATTAGGGGGATTTACTGCTGATAAAAGGTGAACTGGCATACTTTGTAAAACACTGGAGATCAATATAGCCCTTCCCCCTATAGATAAAAGCCTCCCTTTCCATGTCTGCAGCTTGTCTAATATCTTGGTAATCATAGGCTGATAATACTCCAATTTTCTTCTTGCATAGAAGATAGGACACCCTAGGTATGTAAATGGAAATTCCTGTTGCCCTATACCTGTGATCCTTTCAACTTTTCTAACCACCTCAATTTCAGTTAAATGATGCATATACACAGCTGATTTACTCTTATTTATAAGTTGCCCAGAGGCAGCTTCATAGAGATACAGAATTTCCATTACCAACCTTAGAGATGTAGCATCTGATGAACAAAATATAATGGTATCATCTGCATAGGCAAGATGGTTTATCTTTGGACTCCACTTGGGAAGTCCAAAACCACAAAAATACAATTTTGAGTGGAGAGAATTCAGACCCCTTGAAAGAGCTTCAGCAGCTATTATGAACAGAGTTGGAGATAGAGGATCCCCCTGCTTGACACCCCTTGATGATTTGAAAAATCCATTAGATTGACCATTGATCAAAATAGAGTACCAATTATTCCCTACCAAATCAAAGATCATCCCAATAAATCTTTCACAAAAACCAAACTTCCTCAGCATCTTAGTAAGAAATAGCCATGATAACCCGTCATAAGCCTTTGTCATATCCAATTTAATCACAACATTAGGCCCTGCTCTTGTTCTTAGTCTAATATCAGTTATGATTTCCTGAGTTAACAGCACATTCTCTACTATACTCCTACCCTTGACAAATCCTGCTTGCTCCTCAGATATTATCTTAGGCAGTAAGTCCACCAACCTTTCGTGAATGATTCTAGAAAAGATCTTGTTGATGAAATTACTGAGGCTAATTGGCCTAAGATCTGAGAATGTACTGACCTCTTTCTTTTTTGGTAGGAGCACCAAATTTGTATGAGTGACACATTTGGGCAGCTGCTGACCACTGAAAAAGGCTAGGACCATTTCATATATGTCCTCTCCAATAATGTCCCAACATGTGTGATAAAATGCTCCTGTATAACCATCAGGACCACTTGCTGAGTCACCATTTAATCCATATACTGCACTTTTCACCTCCTTTTTTGTAGGAACTGCTACCAGCCTTTCATTTTGTCCCTCCTCTATCAATTTAGGAACATGATCCAATATATAGAAATTTGAAGGGACAACAGATTCATTGAATTGCTCCTTGTAAAATTCAACTGCTGCTTCTGCAATGTCCTTTTGCTCTTCAATCCAGGTGCCCCTGCTATCTTTAATCCTTTTTAATTGTAACCTTTTCCTTCTTCCTCTAACTTGTGCATGGAAAAATTTAGTGTTTCTGTCCCCATCTTTAAACCAGGCCATGCCTGCCTTCTGCTTCAAAAATTCCTCCTCTATTGCTAAATATCTGATTATTTCTGCCTGCACTTTCTGCAGCCTTTCTCTATTCATCTGAGTAGGGAAAGCTTCAAATTGTCTTTCATGAACCAATACCACCTATTCTAAGCTAACAATTTTCTGAAAGATGTCACCATATGTTGATTTGCTCCATGTGGACAACACTTTCTTCAGCTTTTTTAATTTGTAGTTGAACAGCACAAATGGATTAGCACTAAAGTCTGCATTCCAGTTCTCCCTCACTACTGACTTAAAAGATTCATGTTTTGTCCAAAAGTTTAAAAATTTAAAAGGTTTCTTGATGGGTGGGGTTTCAATATCACACTTCAAAAGCATTGGACAATGATCTGAACCAATTTTTGACAAGTGAGTGACCTCCAATCCTGGGAAAGTTTGCTGCAAACCCAAGTTCCCAAAGCATCTGTGTAATCTCTTAAATATACAATCATCCTCAGATCTTCCATTCCACCAGGTAAAAATACTCCCTTTAAATCCCAAGTCTGACAAATTACAAGTATTAATACAGTGTCTGAAGTCATCTACTTCATTCAGTGACACTGGTAATCCCCCAAATTTTTCTTCCTCATCCCATATGACATTAAAATCACCTCCCACAAGCCATGGAGAAGTCATATCAGCAGCCATTGCATACAATGAGTCCCATAACTCAATTCTCTCTACATGATCATATTTGGCATAAACCAGTGTAAGAATTAACTGAACATGAGTTTCAGTGTGAAATAGCTTTAAGGTCAGTTGTTGCACCATGTTGTACATAATGTCCACTTCATACACTTCATCAATAAAGGCCCAGATTTTGTTTGACACATTGACTACTGCTTGAGCAAGCCCAATCCTTCTTCTATACCCTTCCACCTTACTAGACTGTTGCATTGGTTCCATAATTCCTATGAATTCAAAGTGGTGTTGCCTATGCATAAGAATCAATCTTTCAAAGGCCTGCATAGTGTTAACAGACCTGACATTCCATATGATTGCATCCATCACTGATTAATGGACTTAGATAAGGCTCTTCTTGTTTGGACTCCACCTGCTGGAACAGATGAACTGTCTTTCTGTTGTTTTTTCTTACCTTTGGCTGCAGATTTAACTTGCTCAATATGTCTGGGGGACAAATCACCTTGCTTAGCAATATTCAGAAAGTTTTAAGCTGTAGACTCTTCATCCATATCCTTGCCTGCACCTTCTTGTTCTTCATCTGCTGCAGTACCTGCCACATTCTTTTGCATTACTGCTTTATCACTGATCATTTGAGGTGCCAAAGTGACTTCTGCTGCCTCTTTTCTTTGTTGATCCTACATTAATGCTTCATGTGTATTGTCTTTATGTTTTGCCATATGAGTGGAATCAACACATTTTCCTTCTTCTGTTCCTCCTGGATCAATGTTATCACCATCTAACTCCTTAGTAAACACTACTTCATCCACTTTATATACATTGTTATTGCTTTCTGCATTGTTCTTCTTCTGATCCTCACCCTCTGCTACTGCAGTATTTATGAGTTGATCTTTTGAAGGTTTGGTGACTTTTGCCTTAACATTTACACTTTGTTCTCCTTCATCCAATTTGTCCCCCCCAGTTTCCTCCTCACTTTGCATTGCATCAGGGATCACTCCTTCTTCTGTATCTTCTTCAACTTGTTCAGACCACAATTTGCCCCCCCTTCCATTTTGCTTTTTCACTACTTTGAAACATTTCAAACTCTGCATCTTCTATGTTCTCATTGTCCTTCTCCTTTGTAAGTGCCAAATCAACTCTTGTATCCTGTGAAGGTATATCCTGAACTGATGTGTTTGTTGCCACAATATTGCCAGTAAAGGCCCTTTGTACCCATGCTGCAGTAGATTCTTGGACCTGCTTTTCATAATTTTTCTGTTCCTTACTCTTCGCTTCCTCATTTTCTTTTGGATTGTTTAACCTTGCTGGTGTAGCACTAGTAGCTAGTATATCAGGTATGTTCTTCCTTCCTCCATTCTTGCCCTTGTCAGTCCCAGGAGTACTAGGCTTAAAAACTGGTGCTGCAGAATTTAACATGCCACCACCCTTTGCATTGGGCAGTACACTTTGAGCCCCCTGGTCCTCCACCAAAGCCAACTGTTTATTGGCATTATCTTCACTATTGTCCACCTCTAAGACTTCAAACTTGTTGTTGGTCTGCACCTGCTGTGAATCTACAGACTTTTGTTTTTCAACAGGTACTATTTCCCTACCAATTTTTGTTGTTTCCACAGTCTGCTTGTCTTTACCTTGAGCTCTTCTGTCCCTAACCTCTTTCCATTGAGCACCTACATTGCCAATGTTTTGAACTAGAAATATAGTACATATAAGTATGACGTTATGAAGGTTGTAAACTTATTTATGGAATAAGAGTTGGATTCAATTAATATCTTGTTATGAGAAAAAACGAGCTTGCCGCTCAATATGATTGTTAAGATAATCGGAGAAACTCATATCAGATTACATTGTTGTTGTTGCTATTGTTGGTTATAGTTGTTGTTGTTGGGCTGTTGATGACCCTTAGTGGTCTTTGGGATGTATTAAAATAGGGGAGTTTCAACGAAACGAGCAAGCACGCAAGTTTCACAAATAATTATATTCTTAGAAGTACTAGGGCTGCCTATGTTCTTGATTCCCCATATGTCCTACTATCATATCATCTGTTCATGGGTATCATGACATTCCGAGAGATGTTATTGACTTGCTCCATTATGCATTTCCTTCATTTATACATGTATATTGACCCATGACCAGATGGTATTATATACGCGTATATATATGTATATGGGGCATGGGGAAAGGTTATGGCATTATTTATGCACCGCCACCTGATCAGTTGGTATACGTTGATGATTTCGCCCACAGAGGCCGAGATGATATGATGGGGATGCCCTTAGAGGCTTGATGATGTTATATATGCATATACCTATGCATGATACAACATTTATACGCATATGCATGAAATTATAAATGTTTCATGATTCATAGAGCTATTCTGACTTGCAGGTAGAGTTCTTTACTTCATGTTTCTTTCATTTTTTATATACTGCTTTCATGCCTTATATACTCGGTACTTTATTTGTACTGACGTCCCTATTGCTTGGGGACGCTGCGTTTCATGCCCGCAGGTCCTGATAGACAGGTTGAGAGTCCTCCTAACTGGCTATTAGCTCAAAGGAAGGTATTGGTACATACCACTTGCTCCGGAGTTACTTATTTGGTCAGTATGCTTTGGACATGTATTTATTGGTGTGGCGGGGCCCTGTCCCGGCCTTTATGACGTTTATGTACTCTTAGAGGCCTGCAGACAGATGTCATGTATATGAAAGATTGTACGGCCTTGTCGGCCTATGTTCAATGTTCGAATGATCATTTCGATCTTATAGGCCTATATATCACATGCATAAGTTTGTATTACATGTTGGGTCGTTCTATGTCGGTATTACCTTATGTTTTCTGGTTTTATCATGACGGCCCTTCTAGCCCATTTATCCATGAAGGTATGATAAGAAAAAAATATGTTACGTTGGTACTCGGTTGGGTAAGGAACCGGGTGCTCGTCGCGGTCCTTCAGATTGGGTTGTGACAGAAGTGGTATCAACTCTTAGAGGCTTGTAGGCAGATTTCATGTATATGAAAGATTGTATGGCCTTGTCAGCCTATGTTCAGTGTACGAGTGATCATGTTAGTCTTATAGGCCCATATATCACATGCATAAGTTTGTATTACATGTTGGGTCGTCCTATGTCGAGTATTCCCTTATGTTTTCTGGTTATACCATGACGGCTCTTCTGGCCCATTTATCCATGATGGTATGATAAAAAAATACGTTTCGTTGGTACTCGGTTGGGTAAAGCACTAGGTGCCCGTCGCGGCCCTTCAGTTTGGGTCGTGACTAAAGTGGTATCAGAGCAGTTCTATCCTAGGGAATCTACAAGTCGTGCCTAGTAGAGTCTTGTTTATGGGTGTGTTGTGCACCACACTTATAAGCAGGAGGGTACAAGGAATTTAGGACTGTTACTCTTTCTTCTTACTCTAGATCGTGTGGTAGAGCTCAGTTGTAAGAATTCAAACTCGTAAATTCTATTTTATGCGTAATATAACGATACCTACATCAAGAAAGACAGTTGGTAAGAGATTGAATGTGGTTGTGGAAGAGTTGAGTAAGAGGAACTCGATTTTGCATCATGTTTGTGATGAGGAAATGTGAGGTCTTCAGCAGATCGTGTGTGTACTAAGACGTGTAAGCTTCTTTGTATGGAACCCTAAGCTATGAATATCTATCCACCCATATGGTAAAAAGCAATAAGAGATTCAAAGGTAGATATAAGTTTCAACAAGTAAAAGAAGAAAGGTGAATAAGGGTACGACGTACCCAATTAGTGAAGATTATCGGTATTTACAATTTAGGCAAAGAAATATAAGCATTTTGTGTTAGTTTCAACAATAACAGAGATATATACAATTGGCCACACCCATCTTAATTATGCCATATGGGAGCTAACATATATAGTTTAAGAGAAGGATGGGATATCAGGATCCATCTGGGGTTTGAGTAACCCTAAATTATGGATGTATTGTTATCATTAGCTATCATTTCCGAAGGATAATGCAAAACATGGTAATAGTTCTCCTTCTGAGACACCCAGATGGTGCACTCTAGAATAGTACAATCAGATATGAATAATAGAATGTTCATCAAGTTCAGAAGATAGGCACTGGAATCCTAGAAGGGATAAATATTTACCTTAGCACGACTCCCGCCCCTAGTAAACAAAATTGAGAATGTTAGGCGTCCCGAAGAGCCAGTGAGATGAAGCAAGAGGAGCTAAAAGTGAAAGAACATTTTGTGGAAGTTTTCAGAATAAAGTGATAGGAAGAAATATTATCTAGAGAATAAAAAGAGAGTTATTGAAGCATTATGAGTAAGATGTGATAAATGGGTTATAACGGTAAATCAAAATATGACATAATAACAGAGTCCATAGTCCAGTGAAAGAAAAGACAAGAGGTGACCAGCCTTGAGACAATAAAAC